AAAATATGATACTAAATGAGCGTTTATCTAAATTACAATTACAATCAGATTGGCTGTTTTGTACTCACTCGTATGGGTAATTGCGAAATGTTTAGACGTGGTTTTATGAATACTTGTGTATATTTGTCCATGTTACATTAAAGCCGGATACTGTATTTTTACTTCAGGACATGTTTTATGTACATGTATGGTGATTTCCATATATAAACTGACTTTCAATTTCGTGCATGTACGCTTATTCATTCGTTATTATTTTTGTATGTTTGATCCATTGACTGGAGGACAAGTTTAGTTTGAACAAACCCTATCAAATCATACTTTGCGTCGTGACTTAATTATTATTACACTGGGGTTAAACATAATCACAAAGGCGTTAAAGTCAACAATACGAAGTTAATCCCATAAGTTGGTAATACGAACTTCACAGCTAAAGTATCAAATATCTCCCTCTGTTGAAATATTGGCTCCTTAAGTCGACACGTGTTACGTATGCCCAACCATCGACTGCCCCGATGTACGATTTTTTATGGTGTAGGTGTAGGTCAGACCGAAACATGGCACAAATCCATGAAGTCACTAACAAGTGAACTAAGCCATGTTAATAGGTGCAGAGTACCTGCTTGGGATCCGCGAGATGATAGCAACCGATGGTTAGAGACCTTGAATGACATGGCTCAAAATCGTTTGCAATGGCGCAGGTGCATTCACTCTTCACAAATTCTAATCTCCTGAATTCTCCTTATCTGTTTTTTCGTCTTTCCAAATTTATTTCACTGGACTATACTCTTTAAACAACATCTTCAAACCCTAATCTTTCCGAGTACTGTTTATACTTTTGCTACCTCTACCACTATGGGGTTTGAATCGACAATTGTATCTGAGTGCTAATGTGTTATGGCAACTCGAAATGATATAGGTACGTACGAAGTTCTACGTTGTTACTGTCTGACTGGCTTTTACATATACAAATAATGACTCAGTTGTACTGAGTTAGAAATGGTCACTTTATTTATTTCTGTAGGCCGATTGTTTTGCTAAAATCTGGTCTTCATCAAAAATCTCACCATTACAAATTCAAACACTGGCAATATCTTAGATAAATATAATTATAAATAAAACTTAACTATTTTATTTCCTTAGTAACTGTCTATTAACCTAGTACATCATTTTGTAAACCTGTTTATATATTTTAAAAAATTTTGAATTGTATATAATGAATTACGATTAGTATTATTACAGTGACAAATAATAACATTTATTATTCAATATTGTATTATTTTCTATTTCCATCCCTCTCTCTCACTCTCTGGAGCAGGTTAACAGAAAACGGCATATCATATACGTATGCTTACTTACTTGATCCTAATGCGCCTAACCTGTGTACAAATCCTATATCAAGTATAAAATCTATCGATACAACCAATAGTAGTGCGATGCTAACTACGTCTTCAACTACTTTCACGTTTAAACCAATATCAAAAGTTAATAACTCAACTAGTCTGGAGACTGGAATTAAACGATGCAAATCTCAAGGTAATCAATCTTCTGTATTTCGGATTCATCGCTTTGAGGAAATTACAGATTTCAGTCATAATTCATTTTTAAATGATACATTTATGTATGCAGTAATTTAAGCAACTTCCAAACGAAATTAGTCTGGCAAATCAAAGCTACAAATTGAACCAATCTCCACTAAATTTCTCCATCTATGATGTAATAGCCAACTCACTAGAAACTTACTTCAAAGTTTCCGATATAGTTCAACCATGTCACCAATAAAACAGTTGTCGCCTATGCCATTGGATGATTTCTGAGCTATATCACACTTTGTATCATTGGTCTCTGACTCGGTGATCCTAATGACTAAGTGTTTTATACGACATCTCAGCGTTTTGGATTCAGTGCGTAATGGTACCATAAATGTAGACTACTGAGTAGTCCAATATTAGAATCAAACAGTCGTTCAGTTCTCCTTAGCTTTCATTTGTACACCAGTCTGTGACCAATTTAATCCATAAATTCAACATTCATTTGTTTTCTTGGTTTTCATGGCATGTTGTAAGGAACGAAGACTCAGGTGGAAATGGCTAATTTATCTTGTTTAATGCACAGTGACACAGTGGTTTACCAAAATATGAAAATCCTGAATTAAATACATCATTTACACATCTTATTTCAATTGTCCTTTACATCTTTCATAATTCTTCCAATTCTGTTTTTATTCCAATTCCTTTCTACTCTCTTCTGTTCAATCTTCTCAATCTTTTTTTGACAAACATTCCACTTCTGACTAATGTTACATACTACTTACATCTGTCAACATATGTAGCATACACCACAATGTCAATAACATTCGAATTTGAAGAGCGTCTAAATATGATCAAACTTCAAAATGAACTCTTCAATGTATTAGTGCGAAACTTTGACATGTGAGGTCAGTCATGCAAAGAGTATAGAACTTGGTCGTTTTAAAATTATAAACCATCACATAAGAACTCTATCGTTGAATGATGTGTTCACTCTGAGATCTGAACCTTCTGATTCTAGTTTTGTTTTCTATCACTCATGAGAGTGCACATCGCTGAACCGAGCCACAATCTGAGATAATGAAACACTTATCTAATTATCCTTTATTCATTAGCGCCTACGTTTTCATGACTGAAACAATTGTTAAGTCAATGAATATAAGCCTCCTTTACTTCCAACTACAATCATAATGTCGTAAATTCTGTGAATATATGTACCCATTGTAAGTCTTTTTATTCACCTCTTTCCACAATTCTGGACATCTAACTACGGTACCCAGTTGACAAATATGGCTAACTGCTCAAAATAAACTACTGAGAGTCTGTTTGCCGTCGAACCATTTACCTTTGCTTTAATAGGTTATACTTTCTTCCCTCTATTAAACCGAGCAAGAACCTTTAAGATATCAGTAGTATCACTGGTCATTCAACAGATGTTGACTTTTTCTGAAAACTATTTGTAGAATCTGTTTCACATAATGGCCTCACAAGTAAATCAAGTCGAAACTGTACAAATTCGGTAGCACCAGAGTCCATAATGCAACCAAACTCTCCTACTCACTCACATCCAATTTTGACCCGTCAACTAAGTCTACCAGGCACATCTGAAATTATTTCATTAAATCGTGCTATGACCAAGTATAGCTCACAAACATCTGGTGAACCTCCGAATCCACATATTATTAGTACTAGAAACTGTTTGAATCCTATCGGTGACGAACTTCAAAAACACCAAATTTCGTCGTCGTCGTCATCATCATTAACACCTTTTATCGTTCCAGCTAATTCTTATGAAATTATTCTTTTGGCTGATGTTCGTGAAAATTTCGGGTGAGTCCTTTTGTCTTTTGATAGTTACTCTTCAAAAATCGCTTTATCAATTGAAACAAATCAGCCGAAGTACTTATGTAACACATATGTAGTTGGATAGTGAATGGGCTAATTTCAATAATTAAATCTGGGTTGGTTGAACATAATGACACTTTAATAATAATTGTTCGTTGTTAGGCAATCGAAGGTTATCATCTACTCAACTTTCGCCGCAATGAGAAAAAACATGTTGACATACATTTAATAAGATGTAAAGCAAGGAATTTCGAACATGAGATGTATTATCCTGAAAGAATGGATGTCTTCATGAAGACAAGAAAACCTACTAGGAAAAATAATCACAAACAGGGTCATAATAACGAACCGATATAATGTTTGTAGGAATGACTAAGGAGCTCTCTTATACAAGAAGTAAGCACCAATGATGTTATCCAGAATGAATGAAAGCTACACAACTATAAACTAGCTAGCTTGATGAACCCAGCAACAATGAAAGCATCCACGTGAACTGAAAATCGTCTTCTATACTAAAAGAATTAAAACTCAACATCTAGAAGAAGTTAAAGATTGCGCACCAGCTTGACCAATCTTCAAGTTTTTATCTCCAACCACAGAGTATGGTTATCATACACACTTTAGCCAAAAATTCTACAATCACCGACGGAGCTAAGTCTATCAGCTAGTGATTTCATAAACTGTTATCATGTTTTGATTTGTTCTATCCTATGCTATTCTCCTACCTATCCACTGTTAAACACATAATTTAGTGATAAAAACCTAATCAAAATTAAATGAGGTCAATCTTGCCCTAAAAATTACCTTTGACTACTTCATATCAAAATTGTCTATACTGAATTCATAAGACTGTACATTTCATGACTTTACATAAATGCTAGGCTGAGTACTTGTTGGTTTTAGCTTTTCAATCTCGCCATTTTAGTGAATTACATTCATACATTAGGTTATCAGTTAATCAATGGTATGTTTTTTGATAAAGAGGTGTTCGACATCTGACTACTAAACAGTGCAAATAAAACATATCAACTAGTCATAAGCAACTTAAAATTGAGCATACATTTGTATTGCCCCAACTTAACACACTGCATCATCAAAGCTAAACGAAGTTATTAATATGAATGACATCGTAGTAAAGTCAAATAAATCCTAATCTGACAATCAATGTTTTCTTTCTCTCCATTCATCGAGTCAGACTATCAATTTAGTCCATGGAAATTATCAAAATAATGAAGTCACGTTTTATGTAGTTGTAACAATTTCATTAATAAATAGAGATGGATGTTGGCTAGCAATGGAATGTAGGACGCGCGTTTTATTTTATTTGGGACTCGCCATTTGAATGTACCTGCATCCCAGAGTTGGTGTTTACTCCGGCACTCGAACTCAGCACCGTTCGCTTCAAACGCCATCGCGTTATCCACTTAGCTTCGGAGTCCAGATAGTCACTAACCGGATGCAAGTACATTCAGCTGACAAGACCCAATTGGGAGGAAACGCGCGTTCTGGATTCCACTGATAGCCACCATCCATCTCTGTTTATAATGCTTGTGACGTAAGGCAATATCGCGGCAAGATGCACATATGACAAAAAGAGTCTGATCAATTGCAGTTAGAAACATCAATGGTGTTTTTAAAAATAATGTTATTATTAACTAACTCATTATTTTGCATTGTTATGTTTAAATTACAAAATAAAAACAATAGGTCGAACAAAGTAAGACAAATGCTTCCAACTGTATTTCAAAAGTACAGTATCAAATGTGAATCAAGAGCACTTCCTGTTGGGGATTTTCTTTGGATTGCACGATGGCGAAATGAATCAGGTAATTTTTAGTTTTATTCAATTATATCATTATAATGGTTATTACTGTATTGAATATTTAACTAATACTGTTATTTTCTTCTACTGTCTGGTATATTCTTTGGTCACGATACCTTCAATTGACTATTCTTCAACCAGAATAAGGATTGAAATTAAATAATATACGCTCCAATAAACTCTGACAACAAAGATCCAGTATTTTAAACATTAGAATTTATATAAATTAGTTAAAAAATGAAATATCCACCGTATGCCAATATAAATCTGATCAACGCATTTAATATTCAGGACTCTATCCCAATATCAAAATATAGTTTGTGAATGGTTTTCAAAACTAGCATGAATCGACTTAGTATTTAGTGAATATTTAATTTAATTATTAAATGGCCTCTCATTTGATCAATAACTTGATTTTTAAGGCCATTGTTTCGAGATTTTTACGAGTCACGTATTTGAACTACGTTTGATAAATCATCTTACAATAACGTTTCTTTGTTTAGTTGATGTTCCCATATACTGCACATTGACTTGAACGCTATTCTTCCGGAAATTCGTTGACACCTTTAATTTCAACGTTTTCCCAATCGATTTCGTATCCGCGGTTATCTGCCTGCAGCGAAATAGACAACTCTCTCCATTCTTGTTCAACTTTGTCATTGACGTACTTTTAGAGATAACACTTTACTCATCTAAATTTACAGGGGTTGAACTTCTACCGGTAGGTTCACTTGTTAACTTAGAATATGCTGATGACATAGTTTTATTTGGCGAAGACGCTGACAAAATGCAGAGTCTTCTGACCACTCTAAGCAACAATGCAAGCATGTTCGGAATGCGATTCTCCCCCTCGAAATGCAAAATGTTGCTTCAGGATTGGGTTGCATTGACACCCGAACTAATGATAGGGAGTGAAGTAGTTGAGCGTGTAGACCGCTTCACTTATCCTGGAAGTCTCATCAACCCTTGTGGTCTGGTGTGTGACGAAATCTCAGCACGGATACAGAAGGCTCGACTAGCTTTTGCCAACTTGCGTCATTTATGGTGTAGGCGAGATATCCGTCTATCAACCAAAGGACGTGTTTACTGTGCAGCAGTCCGTTCCGTCCTACTTTATGGCAGTGAAACATGGCCGGTCAGAGTAGAGGATATTCGTTAGTTACTAGTATTTGATCATAGGTGTCTTCGAAATATTGCTCGTATATCCTGGGACCATCGAGTAATTAATGCAGTTGTTAGGAAACGGGTACTATGTAAGGATGGCAAATCAATTGATGACGTAGTTAAACTTGATCAGTTGAGATGACTGGGACACGTGTTACGTATGCCCAACGACCGACTGCCTCGACGTGCTATGTTCAGTGGTATAGGAGTAGGTTGGAAGAAAGCTAGGGGCGGCCAGACCAAAACATGGCACAAGTCCATGAAGTCACTGACAAGTGGTCTGAGTCATGTTGGTAGGTGTAGACTACGTGGTTGGGGAGCACGAGATGATAGCAACCGATGGTTGGAGACCTTGAATGACATGGCTCAAAATCGTTTGCAATGGCGCAGGCGCATCCACTCTTTGTGCTCTCCCAAATTTTGATCTCCTTGTCTTTTTTTTTCTCTTTCGAAATTTATTTCACTGGATTATACTCTTTGAATAACATCTCCAAACACTTATCTTCCCGATTACTACTTATACTCTTATTACCTCGACCACTACGGGATTTGAATCGACCACTGCATCTCTGTGCTAATGTAGTGTGGCAACTCGAACTGATGTACGTACGTACGAAGTTCTACGCTGTTACTGACTGACTGAGCGAAATAGACAAAATAGTTAACTCCTCTATCTACGCATACACAAACATAAACTAACAGTAAAATGAGATATGTTACTACTCAGATCACTGAACGTAGACATAGTCATAGATACTAAATCGATCTGAAAAATTGCAAGATTTTGGATCAAGGAAACTCTATGAATTCTTTAAAATTTCCGAAGCATTAGGTTAAAGACAAGTGAAGTTGCCAAATTGTCCTAAGATAGTCCTTCACTGACGATGTCATCAGAACCGAGTGATTTAGCGCTTGTGGACCAATTGAATAGTTCACTCCTGTATGAAGTGATTGTAATGTTGTACAGAACAACAATGAAAAATGTAAAATTAAACCATCCATATCAAAGGATACAACCAATATTTTCAACTGAGTATATCGCTTCCGCAATCATCGAAAGTTTCCATCACAGTAAAGGTTTCATACTTTACGAATTTTAATGGGTTTTAAAGAATTAACCTACTTGTCTTACTGCAAAATATAGTGAATTACGTAGGGTGAACGTTGGTGTAATTATGAATTGTACTATCTAAAATAGCCTATGATGCCAGGTTGCCTCATGTATATAAGATTACTGATTAAATCTTAAGCAAAATCTGGGTTGCGACGGGATTTGACCTCCAGTACTTAATTGATGCAGATACGAGAAATGAATCACATTCAGAAAACAGAAATCATTACTCAGTTAGATATTTCTTTGTGTTCTAGATTGTTTAATGGAAGCTGTACTGGATCAGATTATTGAACGTAAAAGAATGGACGATTTAGCACATAGCATTGTTGATGGGCGATTCAGAGAACAAAAGGTAAACAGTGGATATATTTTTACTGCTATAAAATCTCTAATAAATAAACAGATATACACAACTATCATTTTCAAATTTCCGTCTCAGTATTCACAAGGTTATTTTATTAATAGTCTGATAGGCTTATGCATACCCGTACTAACATTGCTTTCGTCTTTAGTGTTTATGAAATAAAATAAACTAGTCATCCCATTCACATATGTAATTTGATCAGTACTACTAATTCTCTGTATATATACCGCATTTTAAGTTTGTGTCATTTTTATTGCAACTCTCTAATTAGCTACAGACTCATTTGAGGCATATTTAAAACAGAATAAATGGAGTGAAGTTCAAATCTAAGTATTGAAGATTTAAAATTGAATACTCCAAATCATTATCCCACCACTTTACATTGAATATCTATTGTTTATACCTTGATTCTTTTTAGAATAGTTTAATACAGGCTTGTAATGGGATAATTAAATTCGAGAGAATTGTTCATAAATATTTTATTATTGCTAACCAACCAGTTGTAGTTTATTGTTGCTCTAAACCCTTCAGTTTTCAAAAGAGAAAACAGCAGAACATTGGTTGAACTACTTTACTTTCAACTTGTAAATAACAGTTTCAAACCTCTAATTAGGAAATGAGTCAAAACATGCTAATGTTATCAGAATCTCAATGCCCATAACAAACGAATGTTATAAACAGAATTGAATATATCTATGTGACGCGTAGTCTTTCATAAAAACCGACTAACATCACTACTGATTACTGATTAATAAAAAAACAATTATTCAGTAGTACGTAAATTAGAACCTCACACACGTGCATTTATTCAAGTTGATACACTATATCAACACAATAGGATGTAGCGATCGGGACAAATACTACACTAGTAACGTAGTAAACGAGAACACCAGCGAGGAGAACTGAACATATTTTAATACAACATTACAGAATATCTTGGTAAAACCTGAAAACCATACAGTAACACTTCATTTGAAAAATACCCATCAATCGTCTCAGACCTTGTTATTCCTTCGTTTCCATACCAATCGCTCTCTGTTGACGTTCTCTTCAATTTTCTTAACCTTCTGTCGCCAAGTATCCCACTTTCGATTGGTGATACATTCCACTTATACCTGTCGACATCAGTAGCACACACCACAGTAACAGTACTAGCCGTAGTAAAAAAATCGTTAGGGATACATATGATTCGAAAAAGAATAATTTTGAAACTCTCGATGCACTATGTAATTGCTTGCCAGATAGTTTGTCCTATTTGAAAATGAACCTTTTTTAATCGGCTAATTTTTTAAATGAATATTGTATCTTGTCTTTTTTAATTACATTCAATTTCCATGTAGTATCGTTTAAAACGTACAGGTTTATTACAGTTGATTTATTTAATCGAAGAATGTTCGATGATGCATAATCAGAAAGTCGCTTATGATGTTTTAATACAAGCAATTTCAAATGCACAAGTAAGTTAATGTGTGATAATTGCTTGAAGGGATATAAAGTATTCGACTGAGATTGGAAGAAAGTTAGGGGCGGCCAAACCAAAACGTGACATCAGTCCTTGAAGTCACTAACTTCTAGTCTGAGCCATGTTGGTAGATGCAGACTACTTGGTTGGGGTCCGTGTGACTATCGTAACCAATGGTTGGAGACTCTGGGTGACATGGCGTAGGCATATACTCACTATCTTCCCTTAAACTATGAGATTGAAATCTTTCTACATACTAATTCTTTCTTCCTGTACTATATCTTTATATGCAGTCTTTCTTTTATATATCGCCACCATTGACTTAACTACTCCTAGGAATCAGGTGTTCATCTTGCTGTGCTAATGCGGTATGGCAACTTGGACCGATGCATATATGTGCCTAGTCCTACGTTGTAGCTGACTGACTGATATAAAGTATTATTATTTGAACACATAAATATTGGTACAAAGGGGCACCGAATACACATGCGCCACAAAACTCATTTGATTTGTGTGCGGGCTGTGATACTGGCCAGGTGGCCAGAACGAAGCAGGTGGTTTTCTTGAGGGGCAACACCCGGAACCTTCGACCTAAAGGTCTGATCCACAAGGCAGTGGAGCAACGTCAGGAGATGCAGTCCCATTGTAGTCGGTGACCAATAATTGGTTCATACGCCATTTGTTTCCTTAGGATCCTGGACTCCATGTGGACCATTGGTTTGGAATAAGGGTTTTCGAATTCCTCTAGGTGGATCCTCCATATCCAGCAACCCGGTCAAAGCGCCGGAAATTCACTTTTCGTCCTCTCAAATTCGTAAACAACACCCTTGCCTCGAGAAGGAGGATACTATTTTCTGATTAGGATGATCTCGTTACATGTGATATGGTCTCCTTCCCGTTTCAGTTGCCATTCAACGTAAAAAGCTGAAAATTGCATTGAAAGGAGCATTTAAAAAAATAATTATGTTTAAAAGTTATATGTATCTATGCGAATCACCGTGACCAAACGGGTAGTGAACTTTGTTAATTAAGCCATCCTATTACTTATTACAAATCACCCACGATTGCACATGATCCATCGTACAACCTTAGTACACCATGTAACTTATGTGGTCATCACCTTTGGATTAATATAGGTTGTGTTTGAGTCTAAATTGGACCCAAAGATATCTAGGTTGTAAGTTATCATAGAAGCTGTTGTTCAAAATTTTGTAATGTTTGGTGATAGGTAAGTGATGTAATGTCCTGTTTTTTTTATTTTCCACCAACATCCAATGCTGCAAATATGGCACTCATTGCTATAAGTATTATGTATATATATGTAAATTCCACTTATTTAATTTACTTGTACTGATAATTAATTGTACTATCTTTCATAGATCATCGATGGTTTACATATTATGACAACTAAAAGTCTTGAAGATACTGTAGATTTACTCGCTGCACTTTCGCGAAGACTTCAGTCACGTGTTTCAGTAAGTCATTTTATAATGTTTATTTAACTTAGAGAATATATTGACTATTGCAGTGATTATATATAGCCATGGTTGACCCCCCTAAATTACTTGTTACGGTTGTACTATACTTATATATATAGAAAAAAGAATCAAAACTACATGTAACATTCCAGTCCAATAAAAACTGCGAACGTGTTGGGTTGTTTGGTTATGTTGATCCCACCTCCGACATATACTTTTCCGCCAAATGCCCTGTTACAGCCGAGAGCGGGGAGAGACATCTCTCCCTCTCGAAATACTCTCACATGGCCACGTGTACACAGCCACTGCCTGTGAAGTCATACTTGCTGCCTTTTCATGGAGGTGTTCACGAATTTGAGAGGACGAAAAGTGAATTTCCGGCGCTTTGACCGGGTTGGTGGATATGGAGGATCCAACTAGAGGAATTCGAAAACCCTTATTCCAAACCAATGGTCCACACGGAGTCCAGGATCCTAAGGAAACAAATGGCGTATGAACCAATTATTGGTCACCGACTACAATGGGACTGCATCTCCTGACGTTGCTCCACTGCCTTGTGGATCAGACCTTTAGGTTGAAGGTTCCGGGTGTTGCCCCTCAAGAAAACCACCTGCTTCGTTCTGGCCACCTGGCCAGTATCACAGCCCGCACACAAATCAAATGAGTTTTGTGGCGCATGTGTATTCGGTGCCCCTTTGTACCGATATTTATGTGTTCAAAAAGTAAAATATTCTTTCTGTTATAAACTTTACAGAATGATTTGTACGTTAATCATCAAAAATCTAATGATATGCCTTTCAAGTTGAACACTTTAAATGCATTGAGTTGGTGTGAGTTTGTCAAACTTGCAAATAAATCACCGGATCCAAGCATACGTGATATTTTCGCGAAACATTTAATGCAGATTCCTGGATGTTCTGGTCCAAAAATCACTTCAATTATGGAAAAATATCCTACTCCCTGCATGTAAGTTATTTTTTATTTGGGAATTACTTCGCCATTCTGTGATCACCGTAGTTTCATGTTTTCTCGTGCAGTACTTATCTTTTTCTACTAATTCTTATAGTAAGTAAACTAATACGTTCTTGTATTTCAGTTTAATGGATGCCTATGATAAACAGCCGACAATGTCAGGCAAGAGTAATATGTTGGCACAGTTGAAACCAGCAGATAGTAATCGGTATGTGAAACGTTTTCTAATTACTAACATCATTGTTTTTTGAAAGACTAGGGGTAATCACACTAAGATGTGGCATCAATCCATGATGTTATTAACTGTTGTGCTGACCCGTTTAGTTAGGTATAAATTACCTGGTTGGAATTCGCACGATTATCGTAACCAATGATCAGAAATGTTGGATCAAATTGTTGTGAATCACTAGCAATAGCGTACATGCATCTAGTGTTTGTCTTATTAATACATATACTTTTTGTTGGGGTGATCCAAAAAATTTCTCGCAAAAGACAAGCAAGGATCAGGAAACACTAAGAAGCATTTCATCCAATCAGCGTTCACTTGAAGTTTTAGCCGGAAACATCAAGGAAGTGAAACGTCACATGTAAATGTTCTAATTGACTGATTGCTATACTGCTACTATGTTTAGTAGCATTCCAGAATCTCCGAGCAACCCAAGGACATTTAAAATATTATAAAAACCCTATTTTTTTATTAAAATGAACCTCTTAAATGCAGTGCTTCTCGCATGTTCGTGTTCAGGTCGCTGTGTAGTTTTAGCTTTGGGGGTTACAAAATAGCTTAGGAAAGGAGTATAGCGTTTAATTTGCAAGACTTATCACTTTTTATTCCACGAGTTCATTCCCACTCATCGAAACATATTTTCAATCCTCAATCTTTGTTACTATTGTCATTAGTTCTCTTAATATCTATATTACTCTGGCATTCGTCTTGATAATTTCATCCAGATATACTGATATGGTGTGACAACTAAGACCAATTCACATATGTTTCAAGTTCTACGTTATATATAACTAACAAATAATTCAGCGAAGTAACTTCCCTGACCATGATGAGAATTCGAGCTCCGACGGAAACATTCATACCTTAAAAATTATAGATACTAACTAACTAACGTGTTATCTAAATTCATAGTTTTCTGACTATTACTATCAACATTAGCAAATTTATCGAGGAGCTTGTGCGATTCAATGTACTGCTTGGATTCAGTTAATCTGATGAAAATATACATTTGTAATAAAATACACAACAAATATTTTACTTTAAACCTTTCTTACTCGTCTAATCAGATTATACCTTTAACACATTAAGGTATTTTTTAACTGAATATTCAGTAAAGAGACTTCAATACATCAGTACTTAGTTCTAAGAAATTATCCTAGTTTAAGGACACGAGACCATGTTTGTTGTGGTTTGCGGTATCGGATTCTGATACACAAGCTTCTTATATGTGTCCCCAACCAGCAATTTGAGTGAGTGAGCCAACCGATTAATTTAGTCAATAACTTGCTTATCATTTGGCTTCAAGTCACACTCCATGTGTCTAAAGTTGAAATAGGTGGAGTGGTGTTTCTAACCTGGGACTAGCTAAAAAGTCGAACCTCTTGACCACTGACTCACTGTCATTTATTATTGAGTAATAGTGTTCCTGTACAGTTGTCGAATTCCTATTCGGTACAAAACAGTGTATAACACAAAATAATCCTCATGATTATTCAAGTCTCAGATTCAGAGACGTTTATATTATTCTTATTTGACCATAAAAAACTAATAATAATAATTTTGGTCCATATAATTAAAGAAAATTAATTTACTCTTTTTTTAGGTGTATTGGAACAGCGCTTAGTCAGAGTATCGCTTTTGCGTTTAACACATTGTGATCCATATTTTGTACTGATTTCCCTGTAAATATACATTTATCTACAAGTTGCTTTCTGAATTAGTTTAATTCCTATACATAGGATAAACTTGGCTATTTGAGAGATTTTTACAAGTCAGTAAATTACACATGGTAAATAATTATTATTCTCAATTACATTCAAGTAAATAAACTCGAATACCAATACATATAAAGCCCAAGTTTAATTCCACTGTTTGTTCTTAACAATTATGATTTTGAATCAGTACAACTGAGGGCGTGAAAATAGGATGTGACTTATTTAAATAGGGTAATAGTCAATACCAAAGTTACTACACTATATGAACTTATCTTATGCACCTGTTACCCATTCTGTTTTGCTCAATTAAGCACCAAAAGTATTTACGGCAAACAGTCGACACTGGGGACTCAAAATATAACTTTCAATGTGTTTTTTTTTTAAACCAATATAAACAATACATTGACTTAAATAAACAGAAATCAGTAATTTAGTGGATAAAGCGTTCGGTGTTTGAAGCGTATTGGCTCTAAGTCTCCATGTGAAAATAAATGCTAAGGTGCACGTACATCTATCTGACAGGTCCTAAATAAGACGAAATGCACATCCTGGATTGCATTATTAGCCATTATTTAACTTTAGCAGAACATAATAAAAGTTTACGTTTTTTTTTCATACAAATCATTTTTTGAATACAAAATTAAAAACATGGACAGATTAGTACAAAATACCCTTTTCCCATTATATCAGCTGGAATTACTGTCGTCATTGGTTTTTCTTTTTAGTCTTATTTACCTTTTCTAGTGATTCTGTCAGCATAGTTGGTAAACAGTAAAAGTCTGTTGTTGACCACAGAAATATTATAAAAGAACAGAATAATCCAATTGCTGTGTAGACTGAAGTAAGCATTAATGGTAGGTACGGTAAACGTTGTTCTAAATAAGTTAACGGTAGGATTATTTTTGTGAACATAAATAATAATGCAAGACCCCATAAATGCAGACAACCAATTTTTTGTATGATATGCTGTGATCTTGATTGATCAGATCTACTTTTTTCATTATTACTGTTCACGTTTATGGGAAGAATACGAAATAGGATAAGCCAATGAATGCATGTATGTGCTAGATAAATGGATATGACAGCCGGGAATTCTATGTAAAAAAGGGATAAAACACGAAATATATCCTAATGATTTATGTATTTTTATTGAATGATATGATATGGAAAAAATGGGATTGAATATTAAAAATACACTGTTACCAAGTCCTTACAATAACTACACGTGATAGGCATTAGCAGCTAACTGTTACTAGTTAACAGTAGTCGCTGGGTTAGTTGAAGCTTTTAAAGCCAAACTACCACGTGTTTGCACACCTGATTTACTAAAGAATGTGCATTTTTCAAAAGCTTGAGTCGACTGTAACAACTAATTAGTCGGAAATAAGTTATGTTCAGACCAAACAAACCAGACGAGACAATTATCCATATAAATAGGGTAGTACCTAGCACCCGAACGTTTTATCAAACAACGTAGAACTTCGTACGTACCTACATCAGTTCGAGTTGCCATACCACATTAGCACTCACATACAATTGTCGATTCAAATCCCATAGTGGTAGAGGTAGCAAAAGTATAAACAGTACTCGAAAAGATTAGGGTTTGAAGATGTCATTCAATGGGTATAATCCAGTGAAATAAGTTTGGCAAGAGAAAAAAGAAAGGAACATGAAGAATTCAGGAGATTAGAATTTGGGAAGACACAAATAGTGGATGCACCTGCGCCATTGCAAACGATTTTGAGCCATGTCATTCAAGGTCTCTAATCATCGGTTGCTATCATCTCGCGGATCCCAAGCAGGTAGTCCTCACCTACCAACATAGCTCAGTCCACTTGTCAGTGATTTCATGGATATGTGAAAACAAAGAATTTAGGAAGAAAAGGATCGATCCATGGTAAAGCAAACTCTCTTGTCATATTTAAGGATTACGTCGATATGTCTGAATCACAAATAATGTGGTTGGATATTGACTTCAGGTGTAGGTTGCTCAGAAAATTATGGCTCCCAATGTTGTGCAAAGCAAATGAGTTTAGTGGCCAGATGAGCGATCTTCCATACTCAGGAATATGATTAATTATTAGATGATAATCGGATATCTCCATAAGTTTTTTTAATTGTAAAAACGTCAATTTTGTTAGTTTACAATTCATACTTTCTGATAAGCTAAGCATAAACATATTGTGAGAGAAATCCGTACGTTTTGGTGGAGTTCTTTTGTCTGAGCTTGATGGTTGAACTGTGAATCTTTCCTTTTTCTTTTCAACAACATTCCTGGTACAAACGTCACATGGATGCCGTTGATGTTTAGAAGAACAATGAACGCTTCACGATTAAACCATCAAGCTCAGAGAAGACAATCATTCACTCGAACTATAAATCTTTTCTATCATCTCAAAACCAAATCGTTTCTACTGACACAGTTTTTGTAGCCCTACTAAACAGCAATATTGTAGTTTTATTACTGACCGGTTAGTCTATGCTTAATCTTTTATTGGTTACGCCTAACAACTGACACCTGTATAAACAGTCCTGATGTGTTGTACCTACATTCACATCAAAATCAGTTAACTTACCAGCATTTGTAGGGATCAATGGTATAAGGCTGTAGTATCCCAAAGTGCTCACATAAAAGGTAAGAAACCGATGTTCTCCAGAAGTCAATGTGAAAAAGCTGTAAACGAAAAATGTATTTAGGATTTTACGTTTACGCTTCAAAACAGGAGCAAATATATCATTTAACGAGATTCTAATGACAATTTACAAAAATAAGCATATTCTGATGCAGTGCCACGATATAAACGGACAAAAAGTGGTCTGGAATGACATAAGTGTGTTTTTTCCGAAAAACAGTGCGAGTTCAATGTATCGTTTTTCACATAATTCTGAGCTGAACCATGATAACGGTATTGACGACTATCATGGCTACACCAACAAATCGGACTAACACGCAGGATGCTGAGGGATTGGCGGTGTAGACTTACGGGTGGCAAGCGAGTCAGTTACACACATACCACGACCTCGTCAATAGTATTACTCGAAGTAAATCTGTATTGATTGGAAGACATGAGAAATCAGACTAATTAACTCCTTTGGTTTGTTGTTTGAATGCTACTTCGCGTTTGCCGCTTGCAAAATTTAGACTACTGAAATTCGGTTCAAATAGTTTAAGTGACTCTATTTATCTAGTTTATATACTAAATTAAAAGATCAAACTTAACGAAACCAAAGTGAGGTTTAGTAAAATGTACGCTATTTCTCATTGGTTTCCTATGTGTTTTTTTCAAGGGTAAACGTGATAATGATAAGTTGAAAATGAAACACTCGTAACAAGAAATATTTACTTTAAAGGTAATAAAAACATTAAAACTGCTTTTTCATGAACATGCCAACCGAACATAAAACACGACCAAGCTGTTATAATTACAGATTTCAAAAAGACACGAGAAATTACAGCAGTTGTAAAGTTGAAGAAACGACTTTTCCTAATTGATACACATAAAGTGGGCTGTAAAATAGGGAAAAAAAGTGGATAATATGGTATTATTATTATTAATATAGATAGCGCATAATGTCTACCTTCTTGTTACAACTGACTCTAACAATAGGACACAAGAATGCGTTTATAATGTTCCTTTTTTCTCAGTTAATTTTAAGAACGATCAACCATCTTTACAGATATGTACAACTAAAACTGTGAGAACATTGGTAAGCGTACAGTAGAAAACCCAGATAATTATGTAGGGCTTATGTAATTGAGTTTTAGTTTTGTGACTTACAACTACTTCATTACTACAAGTTGTGGTTGAATCCCTGAGTCACTACAACACTTACACGAAGACATTGGGGTATCTAGTTACGTAGACAAAACATAATAATCTAAAGAACTTCATTAACAAGTTTGACTTTTATATTGCCACCAATAACTGTTTGGCACAAACTTAAAACATTATAGTCACTCAGGTGTTTTGGGGAAGCAAAAGTTTACTTTATTGTTTGAAATTGCTTATTTTATACACTTTTATTCGACATAAGTGAATGATGTGGCATAATCAATCACAAATACAGAGAACCTGGCAACACCCCTGTCGATTTTAATTTGCAAACCAAGGTTATCCTGATCAGTCTAATTACATGAATATAAATTTAAGGAAAATCGATATCACAGGCAGTCATACCAGCATGAACAGTAAGCTCAGAAGAGCTGTATGTGAAGGCCTTATAGTAGGCAAAATAACATGTTCCACATTTTCCACTAAACCACCAGTCATGGTTGCAGTAGAGGAGATTTTCTCAGGCCATACTTGAAGAACATGATCGTCTATAAAAAAGGAAAATTACAAATCGATTTCATAGATATGAAATATAAGTCTTAAAATCTGTGTTTGTAGACATTCAGACATCATTCACCAAGAAAACAGTAGTTCCGGTATCAATATGAAACGAAAAAGTTACATTCAAATAAAATCTATTTATAAAAGCTTTCGACAACACTCAAGCTGTTTGCTGCCAAACAAATTTTATAACATGCACAAAGAAAAAGTAACTAAATTTTAGGGAATCATCATTATTCTCGTACCACATAAGCACAGAGAGATAAAATTATTTCAAGACAGAGCCTCTAGTTATAGAAGCAGTAACAATATCAGCAGTTGTAAGAAAAGATTAGGTAAAAAAAAAAGAAAAAAGGTAAAGGAAAACTTCGGGACTCAGGTTCTAGAAGCAGACATGTAAAAAGTCAACTGCAAGTAACAACTAACGTGTGTACGTGTATTGATTTAACTAGTGAAGTTATGACGATGAGATAACCTCAGTTATGCAATACCATTTCACGTTCCAGAAGTGTCAATCTAGATCAACTTTGTTGGACTGAAGGCTTTTGTTATCTACAGCTACTTATTCACATTCTGAATGAGGCTGGGAGTTTTCTATGTAAAAGTGAAATCCCATAATTCAGTGCTTAAATTTCAAGCATACGTTTAAGAATTTGTAACATGATAGTCTTAATCTAATTATATAATGAGATTTGAATGATATCCAGAAAGATCATTTTGACACAGATTTAACCATATTGATACGAATAAAATGTATCAAAGCGATAACAGTTTAGACGAAATCAAATGGAGCAGGAGATTTATAAAAAAGGAAATAATGAATTAAGAATTAATTTAATGAATTAACACTATTACGTAATCTTACCTAGAACATTTAATACTTTATCGACCAAATTGTATAAGGACCAGAAATTTGGAGCCCAGTACGCATGACATAGACCCCGATTAAATGGAAAAAGACGACTGAACACTTGTTTTAACTGATTCTATAATATTTTTTACATTATCATTAGACCATTTAGAACTGCAAACCATGTAAATGAAATATCCAAATGATGAAATCATCACTAAAATAACAACACTGCCAACCTTTATAAATCGATTAACAACATTGAAAAGTTCACGTTTTCCTTTATATAAATAATTATTTCAACAACAATAAAAATAAATCAACTAACCCAAACAATAGTTCATCAAAATATGAACAAAATAAGCTGGAGCTACATACATAAATATGTGCTTAAAATTTAAAAGTATGGTAAACAAGAATGATCCAATGATGTAATTTCCCTAGTACAGTTTAGATAGATGAAAAATAATGTACATCTTACTTCAATTATATACGCCATAGATAGAATTAATATCCCAAACAAAAACCCATTGTACTGAAAATGTATATCTACAAAATTTGTAGGAAAACAACTAGAAAATGAAGACAAATTTATTTTAGAACTAAAATTCTACGAAAATATTTTCACACATTGAAATCATCAGTCAGTTGAAGCTAGACCACCATGGAAAACCTGGAAACACTGGACGGCCGTTTCGTCCCAGTATGGGACTCCCCAACAGTACGCATCCACGATCCAGTGCTTCCAGGTTTTCCATGGTGGTCTAGCTTCAACTGACTAGTGATTTCAGTCTGTGAAAACTTCTAAAATCTCCACAAACCCCTTCTGATAATAATCATCTGCTCACTAGTGACTGACATCAAGAGATACTCCTGCAGTTCCAGTGGGAAGCCGTTACTAGTGGACTTCAACCAGGTCTGTTGTGAGATATCAACTCACTGAAGACAATGGTATACGGTGGCGCAACTTCGTGGATTGGTTGAACTTAGACATTAACACCGTTGGATGCCGGCTCAGTGGTCTAATGGTTAAGTGCTCGCGTGCGAAACCAGTAGGTCCTGGGTTCGGATCCCGCGAGGGCGGGTTCGTGGATGCGCACTGCTGAGGAGTCCCATACTAGGACGAAACGGCCGTCCAGTGTTTCCAGGTTTCCCATGGTGGTCTAGCTTCAACTGACTGATGATTTCAATCTGTGAAAATTCCTAAAATCTCCACAAACCCCTTCTGATGAAAATATTTTCACAACTTATTCTTAAGTGATTTTAATGTCAGAAAAGAAATCCTTTATATAATTGAAAGTCCAAATTGAAGAAAAGAGAGAAGGTAAATGTTGAAAGGAAAAAGAAAAAAAAGGTAGTGCAAAACGAATAGGCAAACTAATTTAAAATCCTTCATAGGTAAGAATTAATTGAAGCAGTGATTGTTTGAGCATATATGTATATATATTTTCCCACTGCTCAGTTTAGTATTATAACATAGATATATTTTTCTTAAAGTAGAATGAACAAGATATTGTTCACATGTAACACAATTTCCCAAGCATCATTTAATTGTGCCTATTAAACTCATTGTATTTGTCGTTGTAGGAATGCTTTAGTCATTTTGCTATGGTGATTCAAGTCATTATCATACAATGTTTTCGTATAACCAACAACCAGCATCAGCTGCAGAATATACTTTATGGACGAAACAGGAAATGAAGGTATGTAGTAAAAAAAGATTGGCCATCATGATTTATTTTTATTGCGTTCACAAGCTTAACTAATATGATACTAGTGAATAGAGCTGAGAGTGGTGAATACAGTAATAAATTATTCAGCACCTGGTCACATCCATGTTAAATTGTGAGAACAAACAAAAAGGATACGGTCAACAATAATCAGTCCGAAATTGAATGCAAAAAGAAAACACAGTGGATAATAACTTCTCTTTAAAAATCCACTACCGGACAGTTTCACTGAATGTAGTAATCTACAACATATGTTCATAGTAAAACCAAATACTTCACAAGGGCTGCAAACATGAGAAGTTCTGAAATGATAACACTAAGTCGTTGGAAAATAATAAGTCCGTTTGATATGTACGGATGAGAGGTGATGGTGCAGATTTCTGGATCAATGTTGATAGCTATAAATGATAAGAACCATTCGAAAAACGCAAACAGTGGAGGATAGTCTAGCGTCCATACAGAAGTCTCCTAAGCAGTACATAAAAACCTCAATATAAGACAACTTACATCAAAGTACCACTTAGATATCGGAAGCGAGCATGTAATCGCAATCCAATTCCGATGTACTTCAAAATCAGTTGAATGACTAAACAATATGAATATATGAATTCCTTACTAGGAAAAGAAGAATAAAGCCTTAAAAGCAGCAGCTGCAACGATAATCGAAAGTAAAGCGATCGTAGACATGGTTAGTATGCAATATTTCTGATTGTTAGTCCTTGGAAAGTAGACGTAACAAACAAAATGTTCTTTGAGTTCTATGTATAAAAGATTGGGAACGGTTTTTATATGTCGGAAGATCCAGACTATTTTCCTTATTTAAGCAAGTACCTGAAAGAATAAAAAAATAAATTACTAATTGCTAACGTCTGGAATGTACGAATTCAAGTAGTGACCAAAGGCCGCACTTAGAATATGTTATCTTAGTAACAACAACCCATAAACGATGCCTATCCTTTATTTGAAAGAATAGACCGAATCAAACAAAATACCTCGGGGTTTGAATCCTGCAGCTCACTGACTCTTAATATTAAACAGTTAACATGAATAGTTGTGTCCTTCTGAAGTCAACGTGAAAATCCCGTAGCCAAACTACTGGAATTATATATACGAAATCACTGTTTATCAATGAGATCTTTTTAAAGGTTTAGCAATCTAAATTTGGTAAGACATAAGATCACAGCAAATTGTCATCGTGATCATTATCATCATTGTTGATCAATCGGTTACTGAATTCTTGCCTTGCCTTTCACTTCGCTAATGAAGCATTTAATTGGTCTCATCTATGCTGCAACACTAAGATCTCTGGTATTCATTCACCAGCGCCAATTGCTTTCGTTCACTCTAGATCATCAACGTAATTTAGAGTTATGAGGCTTATTTTAAATATTTTATTCAGGTTGCTTGGTAGAAGTAGTCAACTGAAGGGTAAAGCGAGATGTACAACCTTCAAATGTAAATTCACAACTAGTAACTTCACAACCCCTTCCTTCATGAACCTAAAGGAAAGCAAAGTGTGCAAATATTTCCACGAATGTAAACGTGAAAGTCGTTCTTAAAAAGCAAAATCTTCGCAGAAACACTTTCTGAAAGGTTTAATAAGAAGTGATTAGGACCAGCCCCAAATCCCCTAGTACGACCGAGGGCGGGGGGAAGTTAGCTCCCCCTCACATGGCCACGCATAAACAACCACCGTCCTCCCGCAACGGGGTGATGCTAACGAAATTGGTAGGACGAAAAGTGAATTTCCGGCGCTTTGACCGGGTTGGTGGATATGGAGGATCCACCTAGAGGAATTCGAAAACCCTTATTCCAAACCAATGGTGCACATAGAGTCCAGGATCCTAAGGAAACAAATGGCGTATGAACCAATTTTTGGTCACCGACTACCATGGGACTGCATCTCCTGACGTTGCTCCACTGCCTTGTGGATCAGACCTTTAGGTCGAAGGTTCCGGGTGTTGCCCCTTAAGAAAACCACCTGCTTCGGTCTAGGCACCCGGGCAGTATCACAATCCATACACAAATCAAGTGAGTTTTAAGGCGCATGTGTATTTGGTGCCCCTTTGTGTCAATATTTATGTGTTCAAATAATTAAATAAATAAAAGGCATTGATACTGAAAAACCGAACTAAGACTTAGAGGCGATCTACTTGAGACCACTTGTGATAAGCTGATGTTACACACACCTGTTGTGCTATGCCATGTAAATTAAAATATCAACGCTTCCATGAGAACTGAAAATCAGGTTGTTTGCTTACTATTTCCTGAATAGAGGTCAAGAATGTGTAGATTTTATGCAGGAATAGTTTTAATCAGCAAGAATGTAGTGTGGGACCAAACGCGAGTCAAAATGTAACATATATATGAAACTATATAGTCTCTTGCGTTTAAAGCAGTTCAGTCTTCAGTAATAAGAACAGTGGGTTTGTGGACTTGTGGTTAACCCTGAGTTTGCCTTCGAGAGAAGGTTCAGGTTCTCCCTGAAAATGTTCACCGATGAGGCTGACACCACTTATTCGAGTAAGGCGTTCCAGTTATTGACCACTCGATGAGAAAAACGGAACCCCACGCGCTCGTTTCAAAAAGGGCAGTGATTTTTGTGCTTGTCGTGATTATCCTTGCTTTGTGTACTTGTTGCACCAAAAAGCATTCTTGGTCTACTTTAACTAAAAGTACTTTGGTTAAGGTTTGAAATTTTTGCTAAACTTTGTCCTGTGGTACCTTTTTTTATTCATTGACCAACACTCGTGTTCACATTGTGATCATATTGTGTTTTAAATCTTTTTAATCAAATTACAATGGTTAGTAAGATTTATAAATGTGAACGACCAAACTGCTTGTTCCCCGTTAAGGAAGGAATGCAGAGCGATGAATGTAAAAAGTGGTACCATAAGATGTGTACACGTCTAAGTCCTACGGTATACAAAAGATGCTCGAAGCCTAACTCGCATTGGCTTTACATGTTTTGCTGTACAAACAAGAAGTTACTAATTCAGGAGGCTATGAGCCTATTGGCTTTGGCCTGATAAAACGAGTACTGACGGTGAAGAATGTGTCAGTGTAGTACGCGCTGCTACCGGACCCGCTAAACACCCGACTGTGATTGACGGGAAAGTGAAATCTCCGTTAACATTAACGAGGGGTGAAGTGCCGCTTGATATCGACATCGGTAATCATACACCTCTAGTCGACTTCAGTACGGAGAAAAAGAAATGAGAAGAAAAAAGCTGTAGGCAAAACACAGCTTGTTAGCAAGTCATTGGAAGAGACGGTATCAGAAACAAAAACTCCACTGCGTGTCAAGACAGATCTCTCTGAGAGGTCAGTCATTTTTCATGAGTTGAGAGAATCTTCCGATAAGGAACCAAAGGCTAGATTTGAACACGATTTCAGTCATATTAAGTCCTTAATAAGCAAACTACTCCCAGATACAGTTTCAGGAGTTAGTATTTGTAAGCTTTATGGAATAGGACAAAAGGTGGATCCTGAAAGTCCTCAGAAAAACCGCCTCTTGAAGGTTACATTTGCCACGGTTGAAGAAAGGAACCAGATTCTAGGTAACTCACGTAAACTGATTGGATCCGAAATATACGTCCGTGAGGATCTCAGCCTAGCTGATCGTGTTAAGAGACGAGCTGCAGAAGTGGAAATAAATGAGCGTCGCCGAAAAGGTGAAAGAAACCTCGTTCTTAAGGGTTTTTAAATTGTAAAAGTTTGGAGCAGAACGATACCCAAACCACTCTGGGTGGTAAGGTAAAGTTCTCCACAGACTTAAAGGTATGCTACACAAATGCTCGCAGACTATTAAATAAAATGGCGGAGCTCAAGTCAATGATGGATAAAGAAAAACCAGATGTTATTGCTGCCTCGGAAACTTGGTTAACGTCAGAAGTATTAGATAATGAAATTCAGTTGACTGGTTTTTTAACCAGTAGGGCTGGTAAATTAAGTTGTGGGGGAGGCGGGGTTATCCTGTACACGAAAAGTACCCTAACCATAAGAGTAGCTAAGACAGTGGCACATGTTTCAGGGACATGTAAACTGATGCGATGTAAGCTGAAATGTAGACGGCAAGATATTGAATTAGTTGTAGCATATCGCAGTCCAGAATGTGTAGCAGATGATTTTCTCCTAAGTAAACCTAAGTCCTGGTGTAACAAGGGTAAAAGCCTTGTAGTAGGCGACTTTAATACACCGTATATAAACTGATTTAACTTAGAAGTAGGGTCATCGACAACGCTATTCGATTGCAAACTGTTTGAAACCTCGATTGCATTAGCTGTATTCCAACATATTAGAAACCCCACAAGATATGACTTAAGAAGCTCTTCTTCTCTTTTGGATTTAGTCTTCACACACGGTGATGACGTTGGTCAAATGACTTCCCTCTCACCACTAGGGAGAAGTGACCATGCAGTAACCTTATTCAATCAACTCTGCAGCGTCGTCTGAAAACTTAGAAATTGACTCTAGGGCATCAATACAAGAGGCATGGACTCATTTCAGAGTTATACAGTCGGATAACTCAACCATACATACCCTGTACAGTTCCAAAGAAGAAGAAGCACGACCATCCCTGGATAGGCCGGGATATTCGACGTTTACTAAGACAAAAGAAGAAATGTTGGGATGTTGCCATCCGACTTGGCACAGTAGGTACGATGGAACGCTACAGATCGGTAAGAAACAAGTGTATAACAAAAATCCGGGAAACTCAAAGAAAATATGAAATGCAGTTGGCACAATCCGCACTCAAGCAACCCAAGAGAATATTCTCGTACATAAACTACAGAAAAAGCATGCATCATTGGATTCCCAACCTAATTAAAGAAAGGAGTGGAACTGAAATGATAGAGGAATATCAGGGAAAAGCAGAGGCTATGGCTGACTATTTTGGGGCAGTTTTCACTTAGAAACCTCCTCTAGACAAAGAACCAGACCAAAATAAAGAGTCAACAAACCACCTGCTCACCGTGGACTTCGATCAAAATGATGTGTTTAAGGCTCTTAGCACCTAAAACATGGAAAAGTCAACAGGACTAGGTGAACTACACCCCAAAATCTTGAGACATACTGCACAATATACCGCGGTCCCACTGACTGCGATATTCAATATGTCACTTGACCAAGGTGTGTTACCTATGGACTGGAAGGACGCAATCGTCACTCCCATACATAAAACAGGTTCACGACAAGTTCCATTGAATTACAGACTTGTAAGCCTCACCAGTGTTGTAGTTAAAATATTGGAAAGAATAGTCAAACGAAGCATAATGACATTTGTGGAAACCAACAACTCGTTAAACATAGAACAACAAGGTTTTAGAAAGGGTCTATCCTGTACAACGAACCTCCTTATAGCTAGGGAGTTCTGGATTAATGCGCTAGACAACGGAAACTCATTGGATGTTGTCTACAGACTTCAGTAAGGCTTTCGACAGTCAGTCAGCTACAACGTAGGACCAGGCACATATGTGCATCGGTCCAGGTTGCCATACCGCATCAGCACAACAAGATGAACACCGGATTCATAGCAGTGGTTATGTCAAAGGTGGTAATATATAAGAGGAAGATTGCATATAATGATATAGTACAGAAAGAAAGAATTAGTACGTAGAAAGATATGAAGTGATTTTAATCTCTTAGTTTAAGGGAAGACAGAGAGTGTATACACCGACGCCATTGTGATCGGCTCTGAGCCATGTCACCAAGAGTCTCCAACCATTGGTTACGAAAGTCACGCGGACCCCAACCAAGTAGTCTGCATCTACCAACATGGCTCAGACTAGAAGTTAGTGTCTTCAAGCACTGATGCCACGTTTTGGTTTGGCCGCCCCTAACTTTCTTCCAACCATTTCCAATACCGGATAGCATTGCACGTCGTGGTAATCGGTGTTCAGGCATACGTAACACGTGGCCCAACCATCTCAGTCGATGGAGATTCATAACCTCACCAACTTATTTACCATCATTTCCTAATACCCTGCGTCTAACCTCACTATTACTTACCCAGTGATCCCAGCAGATGCCAGCAATATTTCTAAGGCATCTGTGGTCAAATACTAATAGCTTACGAGTGTCTTCTACTCTTAATGGCCATGTTCCGCTGCCGTAAAGTAAAACAGAAC